GTGCCTGGTTGGAGACATTACAAGATATGGCTGCCAACCGATGTCAGTGGCGTTCTTGTTGTCATTTTCTGTCCAGATTGCCTGAGTGAATGTCTGGAGGTGTAGGCACCTCGGAATGACTGTGTTAAGCTAGCACTAAGTCCATTCCCCATCCACCTTTATTCTTTTCTTTATAATAAGGCTTTCAAATAATATCATGCAGTTTCTTCATATATCTGCATGTGCACTCCCGACATAAATATATCCTCCTCGTCGGGAATAATGATGTCCACTTACTGGATGGCGTCATAAGACGAAACGACGTTATCGAAAAAATGACAAGTTATATCTCTTCGTCATGAAAATCGTAGGCACTGTCGCTTAACTTGGCTACTTATCTTATTTGATGGAACACACCTATTCGCAACGCTGGTGGTGAGGCCTCATCGGCTTGCGATGAACCCCTATAATTGCAACCGCACTTGTTGTTTACCTGGTCTACCTGTGAGCGCCGCTGGGCATTGGATAGTCAACATTTAAATGCTGGTGTAACCGTTTTCTTTTTCATAGAACACTTTCACGCGACAACGGTTTACCTGGCCTGTGAGCGCCGCTGGGCATTGGATAGTCAACATTTAAATGCTGGTGTAACCGTTTTCTTTTTCATAGAACACTTTCACGCGACAACGAACTTAAAAATGCATATTTGATTTACACTCGCTTTTACTCTTGATAGAGACGCTCAGACTCATATTGATAAAAGGCTGTGTGTAAACTGAAGCCGCGATTTCAGGAATCGGTGGCCATACTCATTATTGGGGCAGTAAAGTTACGGATACAGAAGAGTGTATAGAATCCATACAGTTAAGCGGTGTTGACTTGATCTTCAAACGTGCACCAGTGAGTGGGCGGGGAGTTTGCATTAAATATTCTTTAGAGGACTGGATACCACATTCTCTCAATTTTATTTCCGACACCGATAACCTGTAGCCTAATGGAAACAACAGCTACATTCTCTTCAATAAACCGTGAAACCATCACATCCTCAACTGCAGTAGCAATCTCACCAACTCAGAGCTCCGTTCTTCGCCGACGTGTCTGTTAGCCGTGTCTGTAAGCCGACTTTATGGTGATCCTCAACATCCGGTTTTAGCCGGAAAAACTCCCCCGCGTTTTGGAAAGACCCGACACGCGGAAAGCCACTCACTATTCCAGGCTCCAATAAGGACCTTCTTAGTTGGTGATAGGATTTTTTGTCTCCTTCAACTCACCGGTCTCGCCAAAGTACATACAAATACATAGATGGTTAGGACGGCCAATTCCGCCTCAATTTAAGTATCTCTTTTGATGGAAATGATGGGCTAAATCATCGTCGTCATCTACAGCGGCACATCAGTGTTCGAACCCAAGCACCACGCTTGCCGGCGAGCCGATCGACGTTGCACATAACTTTGGTTGCCTGGCCAGCTCCATAGGCTCCCGGTGGACTAGCCAAAGACTGGACAACATCTTATAGCTGGAAGAACGGAGTCGCCCTTTCTGATTACCGACATCTGTGGTGCCGACGTGATGTCAGTTTGTCGGCTGAGGCAACCGTTTTCACTTGAGCAGTGTGATCTGTACAGTGTTGTGGATCAGTGAGTTCTGCAGTACGCACAAAGTACGTGAAAAAGCTGTCAGTTTTTGACTATGTTTCTCTAGAGCATTGCTGTGGCGGGTAAATGGTGTTGGCAATGCTCAGGCAGGCCAGACCGTCCATGAAAGGAGGAATTCTCCCGCGATAATGAATTGCTCACGCTTCATAGTTTGCATTGGTTGGTACATTCATGCCAAATGCCAGAAGCCCGGTTGTTTCGCAGAACCATTTTCATCCAACCATGTGCTGAGTGCAAGTGATCAAGAGGTGGACACTGTATGTCCTGGCGACGAAGTATGAAAACACGAACCAGTAAATTTGGTAAGACTGACAACTGTCGCCTTTCCGGATGGAGCCCCAGGAGCCAACGCACTAACAGTAAACTGAAATGACAGGAACGATCCAGTCAGTAGCGCGCATGCATCAAAGGTATAGCGTTGAATGTGCAGTTTCCTTGTTCTCCGACTTAAAAACATGCCATCCTCTACAAACCTATGCTGATGTCCCACATTCTCCCATGTTTGGGGAATCGGAAGTGTTGCAGCTGGAACTACTGTAACAATGGTACACGGCTTATAGCTGATAAATCGAAATTAAATTGAATCAGCTGTTCAAACAAACGCTGGTGCCATTCGAGGTCGTAAGCCAATTTAATAACATCACTCAAGATTTTGTCCCCTCTTGCAAAAGGTATTGGACAAGGTTGTATTTGGTCTTCTGTCAACAGAGTTTTTGATTGACTCACAAAAATGTCGCTCCCGGTTTCACCATAGAAATCACAAAGATCACCTTCAAATTCTGCGTGATCGATATGTTTCACATCCCTCAGTGAAACGTCAATTTGTTGGTTGTATCTGCACTAAGAACTTTCACATAAACCAGGAAAACGTTGAACGTGTGGGAACGTTGGGGCCATGGATAGGCATAGGATCGTTGGGGTTGAAAAACGTCCAGTGACAATAAAAATTTGTATACTGAACAAGCTGTTATGCTCGGGGCAAGTGGGCAACTAGATGTGCGTCAGTGACAATAAGCCTTTATTCAGTATACAAGATCTGGATCACAACTGATCCAAGGGGTTTTTTACAACCAAATGAATCGCAGAGGAAACAGCCACAAAAATGAGTCATCGTGTGTTGAGACTGGTTAGACCACGATCCTTGTTCTAGTGTCCATATGCGAATCAAAAAGAAACACAGCAAGACCACAGCGTCAATTAGTACGTGTCAATTAGTACGTGTCAATTATTTAATGCTGTTCAATCTGGAACACCGTTTTTACTGAATAGGCGCATATCCGTTTGTGCTGCTCTTTGCACATCTCGTCGATGATGAGTTTACGTGCTCCGGTGGAACGGGAGTATCACATTCAGCTACTGACAGTAGCTGGAAAGTACTCCAAGTGCTCTCCAGGACTCTTGGCACTACTTGTGAAATGGTACAAAGAACCAAAGAACAAGAAAACAAACATGTATTAGTGCTGGTGGAGATTACAACACAACTCATTGAATCGTCAGACTACATGTAGAAAAGTGTGAAAAGTGTCCAGGTATCTGGAGATGCGGTGTAAGCTAGAAATTCGAACTGCAAAGATCTTTCCAGACACCACGTGCAATGGACTCAAAACTGCCTTCAGTGAGCGCAACACCGCTTTGCAGAATAACCCAACTTGCTATATTCCGTCGTTTAATCGGATTTCCGACGGGAGACTACGAATCCACGTAACGAACTTGGGACCCGCCACGGTTGCGGAGAAACGCAAATTTCTGTTCTTCTGCAACCGCCACCAAGCGGGTGCTCCTGAAAATACTCCTCCACTCCGTTCGAGAGTGAAGGTGAAAAACCCAGCGGGTGTTTTCCTACATCTGCGTAAAAGAGATCTTCCTAACTGAGTTAAGTCACTATAGAAGTCCGTGTTCTTCCGTTGCTCACAGTATGATACTCACATGGGAATTAGTTTGGCACCCGTTGTGACCAGGCTCCTCTCGTGATTATTCCACGCCGCCTTACGAGAGGAAGCTGAGCTTGTGGTAGATCATCGACTAAGGCATGGACTTACTAACCCGAAGGTCTTTAGAACAAATACAGACGCGGTATCCGGACTGAGTTTCGGTAACATGCAAGTATTCCAGTCTTCGTACTCCCTCGGGTGGCAAGGCAGCACGGGAAGTGTTCTGCAGCCGATCGACTCATTCAGGTCGATGTGGGTGCACGGTGTCCGGAAAGGGTGTCCACCTTCCTTCTTTCTTTAACTTTGTGGTTAATGCAACCATTGGAAAAACTCTAGACGTTCTCCAGAATCTCCCGGATCCTTAGGAGTCCAAAGCTTGTCGACCTGGACTATGTGGGTGAAAGTGCTTTCGCTTGTGTAGAAGGCGCATACCCTGCAAAAATAGCTTGTAAGGGTCACCCAATCGCTTGGGACGTGCTTTCCCATGCTGTGGGACGTGCACCCAAGTGAGTGAATTTTGACGTCGTGGAGCAGCATATGTATCTGTGACGATGACATTGGGTACAGAGTCAATAAACCTCGAAAACGAAAATTGGTTTTTCTAATTAGTATCAATTGTGGTGTCAAAAGCGCACATTCCTGCCTTGAAGGATGCGTGTAGCTGTATGTGCAGCTGTGAGACTTGGCCAATTCGGGCGGAGTGTGTAGTAACGGTATTTTTCTCAGCTTAGTTCTCGGTCTGAGCCTCCAAAGCTAGTGTCCACGTCAAAAACAGCTAACCAGGGTGAACAGGGTATATTGCCGCCAAAATCGAAGACAGGAATACTTGTACAGCGCTTCAGATATATAGCGTAGGTGGCAACAACTTACTGGAAATTCTGACCCGTTCTGGATGTGCCATTGGCACCAGGCACTCGGGAAACACGGGGTCGTGATTGGCTGTTGGATCCACACTTTCCACCAATCAGACCTCTTCTTGATGCCGGACCGGCAAGCATCCCGATTCTTGACTAATCTTGCGCGGGATGGGCTTCTCGGCCGTAGCGGTACGTGAGTGCGAGCGGTAATGAGGGATCCGTATGGAGTTCCACCCAACAGTGTGTGATGCTTCTCCAGGTCATTGACCACGGACGTCCCGGGACTATTTTTGTTGACGGCTGAAACAAGCGAATCCGCAGGGTTGATCAGGGAAGGGGCTTTGGTGTTGCGCTGGACACCTCAAACGAGGAGCGCTTTCAGCGCTACAAGCCAAGTTTACTGGGCCACATGTTACACATACTGAACTACCGCCAGCTATGAAGAATGCTGTTTTCCATGCCAAATTGTAATTGGCGGAAATCTATAGTTGGATATAACAAGATATTTTGGGACTTAAGAGTACTACAAGCAGTTTTGGGGTCGTATGTGATCCTTGCGTTTCAAGATGGGGTCCACATGACCCTCAGTATACTTGGCTGAAGGCACTGAACGAAACGACTGCCAAAGCGTGATAACGGGTATATTAGCTCAATTCTGGTATGCGATTCACGCACAATTCAACATTCTGACTGGTTAGTTGTGCACAAGCCAGGAAGTGTGCGCATTCAAATTGCATTTGGGCACAAGCTAACGAAATAACGGGTCAGTTGCTCAAAGCTCAAATGAGCTTTGGTACTGTTCGGTTTCTTGCAAACTTCCAAAACGCACTGAAACATAGTGGGATGAGGGTTTCCATAATAATGGCACACTCCTTAGGGCATGCTGATCCTGGTGAATTGTGACTATTTTTCAGTGATGAACGATTCATTATCTGTTCTAGGCTTTTTGGACACGGATTTTGCTGTCATTTTAACGCCTTCTGTCGGAGTCTTAAACATCTTGAGACTTGCTGTCACTCAAGGATGTCAATCAAAGAAGGATGGTTAAGGAAGTGGTCCCGTATGTCATAGTTTTTCTCTAACCCATTTTATCCTTCAGACACAAAAAACCAATGGGGTAACGTGTACTGCAAACTGCTTCCCTCTGGTTGGTTCCAGTGGTATGATGATGCCAGTTCCACCTCACCTAAGAGGAGTGTGGATGTCAGGGTAGGTTCGCCGCATAACCCCATATTTTTATCGCTGGTGTGAAGAGTGTCACTGCTTTCCTCGCGTTTGGAGACGTATTGCACAGGGTTCCGTGCAAACCAGCCTCTATAACGCCAGCTGAAATACCCCAAGCGTTTGGTGTCCCCCACGAACCTCGCCCGGAGACCAAAGTGTCGTTTTTCGTTTGCTCCTCTCCTGCGGAAATGAAGTAAGTAGTGAATAATCTTCAGATTCAGAATTGACTCCAAAGCGGTCTTTCTTCAAATGACACCTCTGTCTAGGGCGTCCTTAATATCCGATCAGAGATTTGTATATATCTGGTCAACTAAACAGTCGTCCGGGCTCGATGTAGCCCAGAGCTTAAATCGCAAAAATACTGACAGGAAGATCATTGGTTCCCGCCCATCTTGGCTTTTTAGTACGGCATTGAAGCATCAGTTCCAACACTGATGTTGCTATCTTTGATGATGATGATGATGGCTTTTGGATTTTCCCTGTTTAAGCTTGGACACCCTGGAGTTACACCAGACCTCAAGTCCTCTTCGAGTTGCAAGACAGCTAAGCGCCATTATTATTACTATTATTATTACTATTATTATTATTATCGCTGAACAGGCGTGTACTCATGCCATCTTGACCACAGTCTCTAGGAAGTCCGCATTAAATAAACAGCATTTACCGTGGCTGCCTTGTGTAAGAAAGTAGAATTTGAGTAAGACTTATGTCAGAAAGCCAATGGAAACTGAGATACATTCTCATCATAGTAGTCATCGCTGTCATCATCATCAGCTAACATAAAAGCATTTTTGAACTAGTGGACAAGAACGGCAGTGTCAAAATTGTTTCAGAGGAACCAAAGAACTGCTAATCTCGAACCTGCTTCTCGTGGGCTATGCTGGCTTGAACTTCGTTCCACAAGGTGCAGCCATGCCAGGAAGGCCAAAGGGGAGTAGCCAGACCAAGAGCAGCGAAACCCCGCACTACGAGTGATCGTGCTACGAGGTGGTCTGGGGGTAATGTCGTTATGTCATTTGCGACAGGAGTGTGAAGGCAGTAAGTCGTTTCCCTCATGCGACCAACATGTCCATATTTATGGAAGGAAGCAAGCTGCCTTCCTCCGAGGAAGGACGGGTTGGAAAAGGTCGGCCCCAAAACCCGCACACTCTGATCGCACAACGGTTGACCGTGAACGCCGGCGCATTATCCATTATCGAAGTACTTTTAAAACCAAAATGCCCGGTGCAGCTCAAAAGGCACCTGATGTGGGCAGCCGCATCAGGAATAAGACACTAATACCCTATTCTCTACGCTCTCTGTGTTGTGTACGACGAGGGTCGGAGTGCAACGACAATCAGAATGACAATGGAAAAGACTGAGGGCCCGAAAGCTAGGCTTTATTCATCCAAAACTTTGACACTGAGAGCTGAAAACGGAAGAAAGCGATTTAGCAATAAATGGTGAAACCTTTGAGAAACACAGCAAATATACAACATTCGCCCCCCGCAGAGATGAAAGTTCTCAAGAGTTTTATTTATAATCGAATAATGTCAGGCCTCTCTGTTGCGCAGGACATACGGCCGTGTCCGCTGTTGTTGTATAACCAATGGGTGTTCAGAAGAATTCGACATTTCACTTTCCGAAGCAGAGTCAGATAGTTCCGGCTTAATAAATGAATCAGCATTGAACTGCGGTTGCTGCTGTTCGGATGCTGGAGCACATCCAAAATCTGCTGAAGGCGCCAGGTGGCGTAGGGAGACCGTTTCTTCCATGCCATTAGGGTGTCTGACATATGCATACTCAGGGTTACATTCCAGGAGCTCAACCTCTTCGACTAGGGGGTCGTCGGCATCAGAACGGTCCTGGCGAAAGCAACCACTGTGGCAAGGACGTACCGACTGCGGATTTTCGATTGTGTTGAAACATCCGCTCATGTGGGATGGCATTGGTGGCCGTGCACAACAAAGAACGAATCGAGTGGAGAGCGTTTTGTAAAACGGTTTCCCAGTGACTGATTTGAAGACCTTTTGATCGTAATGAAAGCGTAATAGCCTTCCACAAAGTTTCATTCAATCTTTCCACCTGGCCGTTCCCCCTTGGGTTATATGGAGTGGTCCGACTGGTGGCTACACCTTTTTCATGAAGAAATCGTTTGATCTCATCCGAAATGAATGATGAGCCACGATCCGAATGCACGAAACTTGGCAGGCCAAATGTGGCGAACAGTGGCACAAGGCATGATATCACCGTAGACGAACTGATATCTGGACATGCATAGGCGAACG